CACGCGAACCCATCAACGCAGGCATCCGCGAACATTCCTGAGGCGCTTTTCAATAATTTTCTGTGATGATGGGTTTTGAATTTTTTTATCTTGCCTAAGTGGGCGGGTAGTCAAGTTTGTGAACTTATGTTCTAATCTCTGGTCACGTGATTCTCCTGCCTATTCCAGGACGCAGGCGATTACGTGTGTCAAATCTCGGACCGCGTCGCCCGCGACCAAGTGCATACGGTGGAAGTGCTGGTGCCGCCATCGGTCCGCGTCGCGCCCGAGTCGCGTCACGCGGCTGCGAGAAGAGGTGGCGCGGCCGTCCTTGAATGCAGAGCCGCCGGCAACCCCGTGCCAACTGTCACTTGGCATAAATTGGTGAGTATCCTGCTCTATTGTCAATTCCAATTTTTCCCGTACTGCATCCGTTCTATTGCACGGGTCGAGAGGCAAGAACACTGCCTATTTCAGTGTTTGTTTTTTTACAAACGAAATAAAAGCGTTTGGAAAAATGTATATCGTATAACTAGATAGTAATTGGCGGATCTGGCGCACTCGTTAAGTGGGAATGTGGACTTTATGGTGGTGAGAATGGTTTGGCAGTGTTTAAAGGGGCTTTGTGAAGGAGTTATATCGTTTTGTTTCTGAGTGAGTTTGGTTGGTGATTCATGGTTTTGGTGGATCTTATTTGGTTGGCATACGGCTGATGATGGCTGGTGTTTGTTTGCGTGGGGTTAAGTGGTGAGTTGTGACGTTTTGGTGGTGTAGAGCTGTGGGGGTCGTGTGGGTCAGTTAATGTTAGTTTGGCCACACACTACAAACACCCGCCCCGTACCAAACAACACGCCAGTCTTTAGCAGAGACGACATCTTTTTTTGCCTATTAACACAAAAGTCATCTGTTCGCGCTTCGGCAAACATGCACTGCGGCGCTACGTAGCAGTCCCAACAGTATCCTGAAGATGTTACTGTAGTAAAATATTTAAGAGAACGTGTTATATTCATAGGGTTCTACAACTCTGAATGCTACGGTACGAACGGCATCCATCCGAGGGTGAATAGAAACGGCTTAATCAGTTCGTCCGGTGTAGAGCCGAGTATTTCAATACCATTGTTAACCGATTTAAAAAAGAAACCAGATTTACTCATTCCATTGTGCACGATTTTTGGTTACAAAAAAAAATTATTCAACATTTATGTTTTTAAACAAGAGGAGGTTCTCAATTGAATTGTATGTTTTTTTGACAAAGTTAGTTATAAAGATGAAGAAATATTGGTGGAAAATATTGTACGTCTCTGGTATCATCGTTAAATAGCAAAAATTCGAAAAACATTTGGTTTTGGTAAGAATAGAACCCGTAGAGCTCCTTGTGAAAGAGTTCGTCCAGTGAAGTACGGCCACCTTATCTATTTCTGCCGTCAAGCAGTAATAACGGCATTACCTGGTTCCGGTTTTGAAGGCTAAGGGTGCTGGTGAAATTACAGGCACATGGGACTTGTCAATTATGTCTCAGGGTGACGGGCGCAGTGGCAGTGCCCTTCAGATCTTTGCGATTCAAAGCTCTGTAGTGGCACTGCAACTGTTATGGACAGCCGTGTCATTTTCCAAATCCAGACTCGGAAAAAGACTTCAAACGTATAACTTCCTTCTTTTTTCGTGATGTTAAAAATTAATTTAGAGCATTAGAATTAGATTAAGCAGCGTACACAATAATAGCATCGATGGCTGGTCTGACCGGTCGTCGTCTGAAGTCAAAATCCTTTTCCCAGAATGACTCGAACACGCGCCTGGGAGAAGGTCCCCAGCTGCAGCTGGCGAGACTCGAGCGCCACCACAGCGGGAAGTACGCCTGCACCGTCGACAATGGAGTCGGGCCACCGTTGGTTACGGAGTTCACTTTACAAGTGCTATGTAAGTAATTGAGCACATTATTACAGAGACCGAGAAGTAAGGGATTGTTGGACGAGTGTGAGTTACGTTAAGTAGTACGAGTCAAACAATCCCCGTTCCCGCCGAGGCTTATAAAGTGCTATTCGCAAACAATAAAAGACTAAAGAGAGGACGGTGTATAACAGAAAATGTAAAAAGAATGTTAATTAATATTAATAGTAAGTGTTTTTCCAGGCGCATAAATTGTTGCCTGCTGACTTTTGGTAATGGATTTTCATACGTACTTTAAGTTAAAAATTAAATTTAACGGAAAAATAAAAAATATTAGAAGAAAAATTTGTATAGTTATTTGTTATGCAAGGCTGCAAAGTTGTTGTTTGACGCCAGTGCTTGAATTGAAACCTGAGCAAGCGAAGGAAGCTAAGATAAGAAAATAGATTCCTGAGCGTAGCGAGGGTTTCAAGCCACGAGACGCGAAACAACTTTGCTGCCGAGCGAAGCACACAACTTTTCACCTCAGTAGCTTAAATGTGACGATTTCAAGTGTAAATTTATTTTACCTATGGAATAAATAATCTTTGACTTTGACTTTGACTATAGCGAGGAAAATGGTAGATGAAAGAAAAACAGTTGAACTTTAAAACATCAGTTTTTTTAATGAAAAGAAAAGGTTTATCTTGGGATACACCTCACCAATTTTTATTATTGCTTGTACTTTTATTTTGTGTGATTAAGTGATTATTGAAATTATCTTAGTTCTTCGAAGAATTAAAATAATTTAATAGACACAAAAAAGTTATCATTGTCAATTTAATGTCAACAATATTAATAATAAAATATACCAACGGATTTATGTTACATAAATAAGTAATGTAAGACAAATCTTTTTTTTTTTCAGTCCATCGTCAAGTTCGAATCTCAAAAACCTTTTCCACGCTAGCGTGGAAAAACGCTTTTGCGCGCATTTTTTTAATAAGAAAGAAAGCCTTTCCAAGCTAGTGAGGTGAAAAAATTTTTTTTATTAAAAAAAAGGAACCGACTCCAAACTTTACAATCGATTATCGGAAAGTGTGCGAAACCGGATTCATCCCCCAGTTTGCCACCCTTAGAGGCGAAATGTTTTCTTCAAATTTAAATTTGCCGAAACTCGTCTCCAAAATTTCTCTTAGAGCCCCTACAAAGTCCCGTAGGATTAATTCACTTTTGTGCGTACCTCTGGCCTCTTCCAATTTTCAGCGGAATGCATAATGGATAGTCCAAGCAGGTTGATATTGACCTTTTTAACACTAGTGTCGCATCGGCGAAGCGTCTTATTAGAATAGAATAGAATATATATAATGTTAGTAATACAGTAAATTTTTCTTACGTGCTATGGTTAGTACAATACAAACTTACTTAATTTTAGTGAAAAGTGAGTCTAGACCACTACCCTACGCACGTGTAGTTGCACCCAATGTAGTTGGTAGTGGCAGTCCGACCTGTTGGCAACAACGGCTAGGATGCTATAAGCGCTGCCGCGCACACGCATCATGAGTGAGGCGGCTTCTTGCGCATAATGGCATGAAAGCCATCTGTGTGCGCCTCCGTGAACATGATGCACTGCAGTGTCGCGGCAGCCCCATTAGCATCCTAAAAATTGGTATTTTTAATTGGTATTTTTTGTAATTATTGGTAGTTTGTTTTTTGGCGAGTAGGTAATTACTAAGTGTTGCGAAAATGTCATTCATTACCTAGTATATAGTATAGTTAATAGTTATAATTCAAGGTTCATTAACGTAATGTGTGTCTATCGGTGAGGACCTGTAATTAGCTCTCCATTATTATTTCAGTTTTAGTCTGTAAGACAGCCGCTGGTCTTCCAATAACTTAAAATAAAATAAGACATAGAATAAAATAAAAATAAATGGGACGAATAATGACCCACATCTCAACAAAGGATTTCCGAAAAAAAAAATCAAAATCAGTTTGCAAATGTCAAAGTAATCGGGTCGTATTGAGAACTTCTTCCTTTTTTTGAACTCGATTAAAAACTAAACTAGGTATTTATCTTTCATACTTCAGATCCTCCAGAAATAATGGTAGAACGATCATGGGTGCATACTGGCGAAGGATTTCGGGCGGAGTTACTGTGCACTGTACTTGCGGACCCAGCTGCCGAGGTAAATCATAGTTTTATCTAATTTTGTTATAGATTTCTTAAAACCACCTCCAGGTTATACAATAGACAAAAGTTTAACATCGGAATCACTGCGAAGTTATACATAATAATAATAACGCACACACCCCTAAACACACGCCGAAACCCTGTCGCGGGTGCCATGGACACACACATAGACAACCACAAATTACACCCAAACTCCGAGAGAAATAAAATGTAGGCCATACAAATATTTCTCTCGTCTCTGGAATCGAAACTGGGACCTGCGTGGCAGTCCGGCATGATAACCGTTCGGCTACAGAGGCAGTACATATGTATGTCTCACGCCCAGTAATAAAGTAACTTCATTCGTAAAGGTATCGTAATAGTGTATTACGGGCGATAAATACGAAATGACTAGCGAGAGCTTGTTAGAAGCCCGAACCCGAAGGAAGGCTGAGGGTTTTAATGACTCGAGATTTGTACCTCAAAAGTCATTCATCCCCTAATTTGCCACCCTTAGAGGCGGAATATTTTCTTCAAATTTAAATAGGATCACTACTAAGGTACCCTCTTTCCAACAAAAAAGAATCATACAGTCGAATTGAGAACCTATCCTTTTTTGAAGTCGGTTAAAAAAGACTTGTAATACACTATAATGCGGCTTCTTTCATGAACACCAAAATTTTCCGTAACTAACAGATAAGCAAGAAATAACCGGATTGTGTTGCAGGTGTCGTGGTACCAGAACTCATTTCCCCTGAGTGCGAGTGAACGCGTCACGATGGCCACTAGAGGGAACAACCACACGCTGCTCATCGCTAATGTACAGCCAGAGGACTTTGGCAACTACAGGTGAGGACTTCTTGTTTTTAACAAGAAAATTGACATAACAATCTGTGCAGGCGTATTTGTTAGGCATTTAAAATCTTATTGCTACCTATGTATACCTACATATATATGCTATATCGGCCGCAATACCTCCGAGCTTGGAAGCAATATAATAGTAGTAGAGGTCCTTGTGAGATTTTATCCAGGGAAATACTGGCTTTTGGATTTAAAAGATACGAGTGGTAGTGAAATTACATGCACATGGGACTTTTCAACTATATTATCTCAGGATTGTGACGGTGTGATCTCCTTATACCGTCATCCTACCTTTTTGTATCGCCTCTCTGCATTCGTATCGTATCGTTTTTTTTCTTTTTCTACTCATATTTAAATTTAAAATTGTTCCATTTTACCTCGCATTCGTTCGTCCCGTTTCATGCTACCAGGAAAAAAGCCAGGTCTCATTCTGGGTTACCTATCCGTAGTCCGAAATGACATTTACCAGAAATAGCGTTTGCTCGAATTTTCATAACCTCGAAAGTAATTTTGGGAGGAAAATGATTTTTCTTTTAAACCTAACTTAACCTAACCTAACCGAACCCAATCGTGTCTTTGCGATAAACATCCAACATTATCTTAAAAGAACAACGGTTTCGTTATAATTCGGTTTTCGGTGTAATGAAAATTCGAACAAACGTTGTTTCGGAAAAAAATCGAGTTTGTAATAGGTTACTCATTCTGAGTTAACAACAGAATTTAGTAACAGTAGAGCTCCTTGTGACTTTCAGTCACAGTTCGTCCAGGGAAGTCCTGCCACCTTACCTATCTCTGCCGCCAAGCAGTAATGTCAGCGTTACTGTGTTCCGGTTATGAAGGATAAGGGTGCTGGCGAAATTACAGGCACACGGGACTTGTTATGTCTCAGGCGACGGGCGCAGTGGCAGTGCCCCTCAGATCTTTGCGATTTAAAGCTCTGAGTGGCACTGCAACTGTTATGGAAAAAGTCTCAAATCCAGTGCAGACTGTAGTTCCTTCTACTTTTTTTATAAAATCAAGTGACGGGGCAAAGTCGTGCACCTGATGGTAAGGTACACGCGTGTCCATAACAGTTGCAGTGCCACTCAGAGCTCTAGATCTGTGTGTTCGATCTTTGAATTCATTTATTGTTAACAAAAAGTTACAAGACAGCATTGACTTACAAATAAATGGACGACGGGTCTAATACAAAAACCACGAAAAAAATGTCCCAAGTCAACCTATTTAAACGTTGTGACATGTGAAGGAATATGAAAAAGCTAAAACGTTGAATTTAAATTGTAATGTCATCGCAGTACTGTCTAATTTTGCTTGCTTCGCTGTCAGTCGAACAAACGAAGACTAAAGCGTGAATGACGCTCTGTATACGATTTTAACGCCCTATAAGTTCGTACACTTTTTAGCGCGGACCCGACGTCCATATAATTGTAAGTCAATGCAAGACAGTCACAAAAATTTTACAATAACAAATAATTAAATTCATTTAAGCACAAGAAATAATTAATACGATTATTAAATCTTAATAATAATTCATTAAATAATGATAATGATAAAAATAAGCTACGTATGCAACAGTGATTGTGAAAGACCAGTGAATCACTAGTAAAATTCCCAGAAGTGCAGTGTCGAAATTAAGGTTAATCCATGTAACGTTTTAGAGAACACTCTCGCTCAATCGCTGAAGCGACCCGGTCAATTAGCATAATTAGTTTTAAGGCAAACCTATGTAATACTTTCATTAATTAAAATCTTATAAAAGGACACAAATTGCCTTTTTAAAAACCTCCTTCCGGCTATTTCCGTAATTAATACAAAAACAATAATAAAAAATAAAAATACAATTAAAAATATTATCAATTACATTACAATTATATCAAATTACTAACAATAAATTCACATCACACAATACTACGTGTACAACTCGATAGTTTAGAGTGATTGCTCAACAAGCCACGTTTTCAAGCGAAATGTAAATTAATTTCTTGATGGCGCACTTCGCTCGCATATCCATCTCAGAGTCTGGAGTGCTCCTTCTAGTGGTCTCTGGCATATAAAGCAATATTTATTATTATTATGTGCAATAAAATTCCAGCTGCGTAGCTGACAACACCCTGGGTAGGGCGCGGCAGCACGTCGAGGTGTCCGGGCGACCAGGTCCCGCTCGCTTCACGTCACCACCGCTGTCCCGCCGCGCGAACGCTTACACGCTCGCCTTCGCGGTTGACAGCTACCCGCCCTTGGACGAGTTGAGGCTGCTCTATCGGCAGCTGGCGGTAAGCAGTGTCCTCCGAATAAAATGAAAAGTTTTGTCCCATGCCTTTATATCATGGAAGGAGCATTATTTATCCGTAAACTACCAACATAATCCTCACTGAACCCGAGTTAGAAATGTTTAAAAGGGTCCATTGTATAAATCAATTTTAATCTATAATAAAATCCAGTATTTGTTAGATAAGAGGATAACATCAATGCATTTAAAAACAGATTGAAGCAAAATCTTATTCACAAATCATATTATTCGGTAAATGAGTTTATGAGTGATAATCTCAGTACAGAGTACTAAAAAACCGACCTCAAAAGTACGTGGAATTACGTCTATTTGCTAAGTTTCATTGAAATATCCCCTAGTTCGCCACTATACAGGACTTGATACTGGAGATAATAAAAATAGGTTCTCACTACGACACTACTCAAAGTATTTCGAGAGAAAAACGCCTTGAATTGGAGAAATAGCAAAATCAACTAAATGATTACTAAAAGTAATTGCTCCTAAATTAAAGTTAGGCGCTATTTATAAAAATGAATCTTCATGCGTGAACAGCCACCCTTTGAGGTGGATGATTTTCTTCAAAATGAAATAGGACCACTATGGAAGTACCCTCTTTCCAACAAAAAAAGAATCATGAAAATCGGTTCACAAATACCGGAGTTATCGCGTAACATACATACAAAAAAAAGAACATACAGTCGAATTGAGAACCTCCTCCTTTTTTGAAGTCGGTTAAAAAATAAAGGAAAGAGTGACGGAAAGCTCACTTCTTTCAATTTAATTTTAAAATAATTATTAATTACAGTTAATGTAATAATTTATAGATTTAGTTTTTAAGCTTATTTGCAACACCCTGACTGGGTTATGTACAATACAAAATTGTGCAATATGAGATAAATAAATAAATCATTCTTGAATAGGGTGTGACCGAGGTTTTTGAGTAATCAATCGAAAGGCTCCGTCCACATTGTTTATTGTAAAACAGAAATAGACAAAGAACAGGAAAAGGAAGAAATGTAAATGTAAAGATTATAACCACGGAAGAAAATAAAATGGAAGCGCTTTAACCCTCGATAACTATCAAAACCGCTGTCGCCAAAACGCTTACAAACAAAATGATACACACTACGAAATCTTGATAGTGATTCTAATTTAAAAAGATATAATAAATTCTGGATTATTATAATTTAAACTTTATCCAGTCGCCATATCGTTGAAAGTTCAACACCTTTATTGCAAGTTACGACGTTTTGATTTTATATTGAAATTTTATTCAGTTTTTAACTTGTTTAACGACGGAAGGAAGTATCCTTACATAGGTCAGGTTCAAGTTCAAGCAATGAGGTTACTTAAGTTCCAAGTTATCTAAACAGAAATTTAATTGCAATTCAGCCACTTACTACTTAAATTCTAATTATTAAGAATTTCTTGTAATTGTTTTTAAATATTTTCTGTATAAAAATTTTGCTTTTTGCATATTAGTCAGAGTTGTATTTCTATGGAAGAATAAAATATGTTGTGTTATAAACCATATTTATATTGTATTTATTTCCTCGCGAATGTAATGAAAAACGTTATAAGTGTCATGGACGGATTCAAATCGCTGTTGAGTATTTTCTTATTTACCGTCTAAAGACTATTCCAATCTGCCACGATCGCCTGTGTCCGCAGATCAACGAGACGTTCCAGCAGCCCGGGCGCTGGCACGACGTGGTGATCCCTGCGCCGGCGCCGGCGGGCTCGCTCACGCACCGCGTCACGCACGAGCTGCGCGGGCTCGAGGCGGGCGCCGTCTACGAGGCCATCGTGCAGGCCAAGAACCGCTACGGCTGGAACGAGGTACTCCCACTTGTTCTTGTGAACGCATTTGCCAACCGACGTAAGGTGCTTTTTTATAATACCAAGTGACGAGACTAACAAGTTGTGCGCCTGGTGGTAAGCGACACGCCTGTCCATGACAGTTGCAGTGCCAATACAGAGCTTTAAATCGCAAAGATCTTATGGGCACTCCCACTACGGCCGTTAAGTCGGTTAAAATATGTTCTTAAACAAATTTTTTTAAATATATTATTTTTCCAGGTCAGCGACATCTTCCAGTTTCACACCCTGGGCGGTATGCACACAGTCCACGCAGACGAGCTCTCACCAATGTTCGCGTCAGCGGACATGCACAAACTAAGCGGCTACACCATCCCCTTCGCCTTATATTGCCTCGTAACCTTCGCCTGATTGGCCGAACCATGATGTCTGATGTAATTGTCATTGGCTGAATGTAAGATGAACGTAATTCATTGGATGTTCAGTGAATCGAAGACACCTGATTGGTCGGATGTGACGTGATCGACCATTTTCGAATTTTTGCAACCGACGTTTAATTAGAATGTTTTAAAATTGATTTGTGATGAAAATTTTTATTTTAACGTAATGTTGTGGTTACTTTTGAAATTGAGGCATTCAGTTATAATGTTCATTTTGCGAATAGACATTCGTTGAATCCTTCATCGATTTCGACCACGCTTGAAACCAAATATTGTCGTAACTCTAAAATCGTGAAATTGAGTACACACGACAATTTAAAAAAATACAGAATGAACATTATTATAATAATGCGAATAATTTTTATTTATACATAGTAATTAGTTATCCATATAAGTCGATAAATTTAATAAAAAAAAAGGTCATTCGATCGTTTATGAGAAAGTTCTTGAATTTCTCAAATCGCACTGCTTTTACAATAGTGTTGTAACTCAAAATATGTGAAATCCAAGATTATACTATTGCTGAACGTAATATTTGATTCTCTACAAGTCAATAAAACCTTCGTCAAAATATTGTCAACTTCAACGTCAACTTCAACTTTTGTATCTATGGCTCCGTCGTTTTGCGCGACGATTTCGCTAACGACAGGGTTGAAAGACATGTAGAGCGGTGGCGAGACAGAATTGTCAGAAACAATTAAAATAAATCTACTTAACTCAAAATGAGACAAACTTTTTGCGAACTAGTTCTGGATAAAACAGTCATAATAAATAAGTTTCTAAAAAATATTGAATTATTTTTTCCTTTTATGGCAAGTAGGGCATTATTTAGATGTCTATAATAAATGCGAAACATATGTATATACATATGTCTATAATAAATATACTTTATCCTATACGTATAATTTAATAATATTTCGCTGGAAGTGAGTAATTCGTTTCTGAGCGATTCTGAAAAAATACACTTTTTGAGTTAATACACTATTGTATTAACAGTGCGAAATAGTTTTCTCAATTTCACCACTTTTGAGTTACGACAGTATTTCGTTTCATGAGCATTATGATACGAACTCAGACCATGTTGCAGTTAAAAACATGAACGCCTCTGTCAAAAGATAATAGATTAACAACATCACAGCTTGTCAACTTTATTTCAAATTACTAGTAAACATTTCCAAGATATTTTACTTTAGTTAAAATGTCGTAAAACGATTTTAAATAAGACACCAAAATGTTTATTTAAAAATTACTAATAAGAAGTGTTGTGACATATAGGAGACTGCGCTTCGATATACAGGGTGTCGGAAAAACATGACACTGGTACAGCCTCTTAATTTATAATAGACAGTATCGTGAAACGCGTATCGATTTGGGCTATTTTTTTTAATGAATTTTGGAGAATGTTCCATCCAAAGATAAGAACCTAAACAAGGACATCCAAGAAACGTATCATTAAAGCAAGAACATGCTATACCCATTTTGCTGAACGAGCGAAATAGCTTCTGGTCAGTGAGCCTTCATTAACGATGGATTTTAACGATACCATGATCGTGTTCCACCGCCTTCCCGTGTTAACCTTCAACTTGATTTTTATTTGGTCAGAATCTTCAGATGTCTTTTTCCGCGTAGCCTTTCACTAATGTGCACACACTTAAAACAAAAATCTTTTTCAGACACCCTGTATTTTCCACCTTTTTTAAAAAAACTGCATTACAGCGGAATTGCTTACCACCCTAGAATGTATTTTAATAAAATGTAAATATGAACGTAAAGGATAAAAAACCCTAAGCTTTCCTAAGATGGCAAATGAAAATAACATCCATAGACTCAGATACAATTGTAATACTAGCCACAGGTTTTAAGCTTACACGCATTAAAGTATGGTCTTAACGCAAACGGACTGTATTGAAATTCAAGTCAGCTGCCAAAATTTGTGTGTTTTCCTATTGGTGAAAATTTAAGACAATACACTAAGAGCAGCTGCCAGATCTGTTGTAGCTACACAAAAACATTCTTTAAAGGTCGTGCATCAGCATTTTTGCCATCTCTGACACGTTTTTACTCTAATTTGAGTTTGTGCATGCCTTGTGATTCTTATACGAAACAAGCTCAATTGGTGCCATAAGAAAACCTTTTTCTTATCAATTGCGAATGTAATTAATTGTTGATGATACCATCAATTAAGAAAATCTTCATGTATCTACACGGTACGGTTCGGGTGGCTTTATCGTCACAAATTTTCACCCTGTATATACAATCACATTTTTAATTACCCGATTAAACTGACGTTTATTGTTTTGCTGGTTATTAGTAAATTAAATTTAACCGACTTTAAAAACAAGCAGAGATTCTCAATTTCTCTATATTTTTTTTGTTTGGCAATTACTCTGACATTTGTATGCCGATTTCGATGGTTCTTTTTTGTTGGAATGGGGACGAGTGGTCCTATTCAAATTTAATGAAAATATTCCGCCTCTAAGTGTGGCAAATTAAAAATTTTAATCGATTAACGGAAAGTGGATGAAATCCAATAAACAGTATTCATCCCCTAATTTGCTACCCTTAGAGGTGAAATAATTTCTTCAAATTTGAATGAGACCAACACTGAGGTGCCCTCTTTCCAACAAAAAAAGAATCATCGAAATCGGTACTCTAATATCGGAGTAAACGCATAACATAGACATATAAAAAATACGAAACCTCCTTTTTTTAAAGTCGGTTGAAAAAATTATAATTTCAAATGGTTACTAATTATATTTCTGTGATTTGTGTGAACAGTAAAACAGAAACGTTACGTAGTTGTCAGTTTTATCAAAGTAATACGACTTATGACAACACCAACACACAGCACCTCACAGTGTTTGAGCAGCTCGCTTGCAATCAGTGTGCTGTCGGCGCAACTGCATTCGGACGGCACATTCGCGTTTACGTTGCAATCAACATGCAATCCGGCTGAGTTTTCATAATCTGGCCAGTTACTACCAAATATTTTTTTTAAATTAAATTTTACGCAATTAAACACGTTTATATAGTAATTCATGTAAACATATGTTTCATATTAAACATTATATTTAGTTGGCTAAAAAGACCGTGCGATATGAACGAAGAACATTAAAAAAAACATCATTCTTTAATCCAAATTAATATTATAAATACGAAAATAATTATATCTGTTACATTCTCACATCTAAACAGAGGTTTAGTTCAGAGGAACTAATTTTAATAAATTTCGATGGGACCTGGCTGGGCATAGGCTACTTTTTGTCACAAAAATAAATCTAAAAGGGGCGAAATGAGGAATGAAAGTTTGTACAGAGAGCCAATCTAAACTAAAGTTATAAATGCAAAAGTAACATTTTCACGCCTAAATTGCTGAACCAAGTTATACGCCGTCCAACAAATTATTTAACTTTATACAACCATAGACAAAATAATGCAATAATACTTCCTGGACTCTTTTATTTTTTAATTTCAGTGAATCGACGTGCTCTTTAGATCCGATAATTATCGAGCCAACCGATTATGTAACGATGGTTATTTATGTTGTTAAATTTTGGTACCTGTCTATTAAATTATAATAAAATGAAATAATTATAATAAATTCTTACTGTTTATTACGGGAATCGTCACTTGAACCCTCATTAACATTAATTATTGATGCTGGAGTGCACAAATTGTCAAACGCAACATTACTATTCCAATCAAACAATATCTTCTTTTTGGAACCCGCTCACATTCACGTTTTCTTCATAAATAAAATCGATTGTTATAAAAAATTGAATCGAAACGCATTAGGACATCACTAATTGACTACAATTCGATCTGTCAAAACATTGACTTACAAATAAATGGACGACGGGTCTAATACAAAAACCACGAAAAAAATGTCCCAAGTCAACCTATATAAACGTAGTGACATGCAAAGGAATATGAAAAAGCTAAAACGTTGAATTTAAATTGTAATGTCATCGCAGTACTGTCTAATTTTGGTTGCTTCGCTGTCAGTCGAACAAACGAAGACTAGAGCGTGAATGACGCTCTGTATACGATTTTAACGCCCTATAAGTTCGGACACTTTTTAGCGCGGACCCGACGTCCATATAATTGTAAGTCAATGTGTCAAAAGTTAAATAAATGGTTGGACGAAGTACCTATAATGAGTTTTGGTCTATACCACCCGTCGGGTGAATACGGTGAGTGAGCATCTTGATTTTGATTGCCTCTCCCGATCGGAAAGTGCGTCTCTTACGAGTCGAGGCGCATAAATGCGATTCACAACTGGCCGATCGGAAGCTTTTGACATTTCTAATCGGAACGATAGTTGATTTAACTCACAAATTAGAAAGATATAGTAGGAATCAGGTTCATCTTCTCGCTCAGAAACCCATTTGATCTCGAGACTACCCGATCGGGTCGATTCCTATTTGAATCAAAATCAGGGCCAAGGTACCACATCCCAACATAACCGGTTTAACATTGCACGATCAAATCAACACCCTTTACGATTCGCCAGTTCTGAGCGTTTTTCATGAATTAAAAATTTAAAACTTACCCGCCTATTCTTAAAATTCGCGCGCAAATATTATTTTTAAAACGACCATGGACAATGTAACGTTTAAAAAAAAGTTATTTTAAAAAGGAGGAGGTTCTCTGTTCGACTATATTTTTTTTGTATTGTGAACTCATTGTGATGATTATTTTCTTGTTGGAAAGAGGATACCTCAGTATTGGTCCCATTTAAATTTGAAGAAAATATGCCATCTCTGACGGTGGCAAACTAGGTGATGAATTTGTTTTCGCACACTTTGCGGTAACCGATTGCAATAAAACTTGGCAAATACATGTAATTCCAATAAAAAAGCCGATTAGCAACCTTTTGAGGTCGTTTTTGTAATAAAAAAGTTTTTTTTTAAAGTACCGCACGAACTTATTTACCACTCCGTAGTAATTTTAATTTTGATAAAAAAATTAACCATAATTTTTTTTGTACAGTCCTAAATCGTTGCTCTCCTGACTATATAACTCTCGACAAATTCATAAGGGTAACGTAGTTTCCATTTTAGCACTCGAAATTTAGAGCTTTAGCTCGTGTCAAACTCGTTAAAAAATATTAAATCACCTAAAATCACAGAGTTCACGTGGGTCACGAGCTTGCCGCGACTCATTTTAGCGAGTAAAGTCTGGCACGTGAGTACCCGACTTTAGGCACTCTTGTTCAAACGTGACCGTCCGGTTGGCTGATTGCCTGTGGCGTCTGGC